TATTATATATATATATATATATAAACAAACAAACAAACAAACAAAAAAACATTATATTATATACACTACCATTCGATTTTTTTTATGCTTTTGAAATAAGTCTCTTATGTTTACCAAGGCTGCATTTCTGATTAAAGACACAGTAAAAAAAGTAAAATTCTGAAATACTATTATAATTTAAAAGAGCTGTTTTCTATTTGAATATATTGTATTTCAGCATCATTACTCCAGTCTTCAGTGTCACATGATCCTTCAGGAATCATTCTAATATGCTGATTTGCTGCTCAACAAATCTTTTTATTATAAATGTTGAAAAGAGTTAATACTTTTGTGGACACTGTGATACAAAACAATACAATTTATTTGGGATTGAAATCTGTTGTAACATAACAAATGTCATTTTGATCAATTTAATGCATCTGTTCTGAACAAAACTATTCATGTCTTTCAAAAAAATAATCATACTGTCACAAAACGTCTAATTGGTAGAGTATGTATATATAAATCTCCCTAATTAATTTCTCAGCCTTACAAAATGACACTTAATAGGGATGTGTCTGCTGCTGAGACGATCACTGCTCTCGTATCCAGATTCAGTGCGCTGGATTTTCCAGTTATCAGTCCGAATGGTGAGGTTACTGACGCTTGATTTAACCCTGTCCTCTGATTCCAGCGAGCTCCTGCTGCCCATGTCCTGCCGCTGCTCGTCCTCGTAAATCGTCATTAAGCTCTTGGGTTTGCGTTCTTCTCGTCGGACCCACGCCGACTCTTCGCTGTCCTGATTAAAGGTCTGTCTGCGAGAGTTGTGGGAGTTTTGATTATTATCGCTGTTTATTATGCTGTCGACGTTAAGCGCCTCTCGCATCGGCCTCCACGCTCGATTCGGCCGGTTGCGAGGGTTTCCGTACGTCCGGGAGTCCTGACTGCTGTCCGTATCGTAGCCGTTGGCCACATCCAGCCTCCGAGAGCGGCTCTCTCCAGGGGGACGAAGCGGGACGCGAGGCTGGGACTGACAGCGGGGCTCGTGGCTGTACTGAGTGTTAGTAACAGGCCAGAGCTCGGCTTTCGTCGGACCCCTGCCCTGGCTGCTGTAGAGCCGTGACTCCAGATGCTTGAAGCCGTTCTCCGGAGGTGACAGCGAGCGGGAATGAGGCTTGTCAGGGGAGTCTGGGGAGGAGAAACATATAGTTACACAACAAAGATTATTGGAGTTTTACAAGAAAAAACTATTTTAGTCTTTCTATTTCAAGTTCAATTCAATGTGTCACTTCCTGTTTCTTTGTAATTATTTATGAAATTTATTTCTGAGTGAAAATTGTTTTTAAAGGGTTCATATGATGTTGCTAAAAAGAACATTATTTTGTGTATTTGGTGTAATGAAATGTGTTTAGTCTTAACTTTATAAAGAATATCTCTTTGGGTTTAAGACTTTAGTATTTGCAACTTTAGGGATCTTATCTGTTCACGAACAGCTTGCAACACTCCAAAGAGGAAGGAAAACTTGAAATCGCATCATATGACCCCTTTAAATAAATCCTTCATTTTTGTTTTTAGAAGCACACTGGTAATGGAGTTATCACATGGGTTATGCTTTTTTTTTTTTTGTCTGGACCTATTAGTATGGTTTAAAAATACATAAAAATTTAATTCATACATGCAATTACTTGATTACGCCACTGCTATGATGAGGATGATTTTCAATTTCTGAATAAAATTAATTTTGAAATTTTTGGGGGTACATAAAGTAAAAAATGTTACCGTGTCCTGATATCATAATGAAGCAAAAAAAGCATAATTATAACTTTGATAAAGAATATCTCTTTGGGTTTGAGACTTTAGTCTTTGCAACTTTAGGGATCTTATCTATGCACGAACAGCTTGCAACACTCCAAAGAGAAAGGAAAACTTGAAATCGCATCATATGACCCCTTTAAATAAATCCTTCATTTTTGTTTTTAGAAGCACACTGGTAATGGAGTTATCACATGGGTTATGCATTTTTTTTTTTGTCTGGACCTATTAGTATGGTTTAAAAATACATAAAAAATTTATTCATACATGCAATTACTTGATTACGCCACTGCTATGATGAGGATGATTTTCAATTTCTGAATAAAATTAATTTTGAAATTTTTGGGGGTACATAAAGTAAAAAATGTTACCGTGTCCTGATATCATAATGAAGAAAAAAAAAGCATAATTAAGACAATAAAATACTTAGTTTTGCATTTTATATTTTATATGCAATTTTATATGATTATTTTTTAAAGTAAAAAATATAACATTATATAAATAATAATATTATAGATGTATACAATAATATAAATAATATAGAATTTAAAGAACATTTTATTTAAAACAATTATATACTATTTATGCTTTATTTATTTAACTTACATACAGTACACATATATATATATATATATATATATAAATATAAATTCTTAGCTTTGCATCATTTTATTGAATACTTCAAGAAGGTAAAGTTCAAAAGTATATTAAAATATCAGATAATTGGACCTTTTTCTGACAAGGCAAGGTTTATTTAGGTTGTTAAAGTGTGGTATGACTCCTCAAAATGTAATGATATTCATGAATGAATTCATGATGTAAACATATTTAACACTGAAAAAAAAACACTTCGGTTGTAAGGATTCAATTCCAAACTGTTCAGCATTTCAGATTTGTCAGTCTTTCATATGTTCGTATGAATAGAACTGTATTTAGCTTTCCGAACAAGACTGATCAGTGTATTCTGTGTGAAGCTGTATAAACGCAGCCCTGGTTCTGGTTGAGTCTCACATTTTGCTGCATTATTAAATTGTTCATTACATTACACAAACACAATCCATCGATGCTGAACCTGCTTCCAGTCTGCAGGCCAGAATCATCCATCTCCGACATATGCGGGGTTGCACTAACAGCCTGGATGACCTTTTTTCTCGTGAAGGTGGAAGAGTGACTCTCTTTGGGCAGAACAGTGCTGATTTTGGCACTCTTAAATGGGCTGGCATAGAGATTTTGCGGCAGTGCAAATCCATACTGCTCCATTCCACATTGCCAAGTTCACTATATCATCATGCAGTATGAGCTTGAAAAAACAGCATTATCTCATTAGATATTAATGCAACTTTGACTTGTGGCCGTCACACGCACTGAAAATGCTAATTATCTGGCATTATGAATTCTCAAACAGCCTACACAGTTAGATTTCTACAAGACGAAGGCAGTTTGGTTTGAGATCTAAACGCTGAAGGCTAAAAAGCCATTAGTAAGCCATATACCTACTTAAAAAGGGTAAAGCAAAGTCAAGCATCTTGGCTTGCAAACCACAATTTTACAGCTTATGAGCAATAAAAGGAGATGGTAATGTTGGTCACATGACACCTGCACAATATGGTGAGCCAGTTTCACTGCACATGAGGAAATTGTGATACCTATAAACTTGTATCTACATGAGCTGGTTCTCACTGTCCAGTGAGCCATGCTATAAAAGAAAAGCGCTTAAATGTACTTCAAATCTTAAAAGTATATTTAAAAAAAAATTTTACTTGCAGATAACATAATATCAAATAAAAGGCCACTTAAAGAGACACTTTATTGACTATGGCTCTTAACACACTTTAGTACAATTTTCAAAAATGCACTTTGTAATAATGTCAAATTAAGTTTCACTTTAAAGTACATTTTAAATCATCATGTTTTAATAAACTTTGTCATGTTTTAATGAAGTACACTGATTTTGATGTGTTGACTAACATACTAAAGCACATGTAAAGTACTTGATTATAATCTCAACGGTAGTGTGTTATTCAATATTAGATTTAAAGTTAATACATTTTAAGGCTACACTTTATTTTAAGGTGTCCTTGTTACAGTGTAATTATACATTTAAGTACTGAGTAATATTAATTAACTACATATACTTACTATATGGTTAGGGTAAGGGTTTGGCTTAGGGTTACTTGCATGTAATTATGCATAATTCATTGTTATTATAATAGTAAGTACATGTAGCACGTGTAACAAGGACACCTTAAAATAAAGTTACCCATTTTAAATGAACTAAATTGCAGCATATTTACAGATGTGTAATTACAAGACATTCACATTTCAATAGAAATGACATTGAAGTAAATTTTAGTTACGCTCGGCAGTACACTTTAACCATATTTCAAAAAACAATTGAAGTAATAATGAAATTGCATATAAAGAATCTCTCTAAAGCTAATTGGATTTAATGTAAATTTAAAATAACATGCAATTAAGTTTATTTTTCCCATAAGTAGTACTGATTTTAAAAGTTTGCTAAAGTGTACAGTAGTTCTCCTTCACAAGGGATTACTTTTAAAGCAATAGTCAACCTAAAATTTTAACTCCAATATTTAAAATCCGTACGGCTTGCTTTATTCTGCATGACACAACATGAGAAATGTGAAAGAATGTACAAGCCACTCTTTTCCATTTAATGAAAGTAAAGGGAGACTCTGATTTTATGAAGCTCATTCACTTTCATTATATGGAAAAGAACAGCCAACACATTCTCCAAAATCTCTCCTTTTGTGTTTCACATAAAAAGAAAGCCATATGAGTCTGGAACGACATGAGAGTGAGTAAATTACTCTCTCAGTAAACTATTACTCTGATTCCTCTACACTGATCTAATCTATTCAGCATATCTGATGCAATGTGTTAATATTCAAATTTTTCGTTTGGAATTTATCTCAATTGATCTCAGTTATAGTAAAACCACCTGGAAACTTGGAAGTGGAGGTGGATTTGCATTGCATGACTCTATGCGACATGATTTCGCATCCAGCATTTTATAAAACACCCAAATATTTTGACAGGTGCACATACAGTAGCTGTCAGCCATTTGGTTAATTATGCTGACTCTGATTGTAATGATACATTTTAATAATAAATAAATATAAATTAACCAATAATACAAATGCATTGATATTTTCACCATAAAACAATTTCCATCCACTGAACCCTCCGTTTAGAGATGCATGATATTCATTTGTAGAAAAATCTAAATATAACTTTATAATGACCCATTATTAATTTGCGCTGGAAAAGAGTTGGTCGCTCAGCTCAAGTTAGACAGAGGAACCGTTACAGAGATTACAGTCCTCTGGAGCACACGTCAGAGGTAATCTGTGTTTTTAACACTTCTCGCTGACCCCGGGTTACATAAGAAGTGCTGTGAGTGAGTTTATTCCGCTCCAAAGCTCCGCTAAAAGCTTCGAGTGTAACTACCACACATCTGTGCTTCTCCAAAGAGGACTGAGAAGACATTTAAAGTGGTCTGACTGAATACAAGAGAGCAAAAGTGGTAGAATACAATTTCTTTCTTGCTATGGTTGCAAAATGTGCTTGTTCAAATCTTTAACCCTGAAAGCACTACCAGTCAGAAGTTTGGAATAATTAAGATTACTTAAAGTTTTGAAAGAAGTATCTTTGCTCACCGAGGCTGCATTTATTTGATCAAAAATACATTAAAACAGTTAAATTGTAAAATATTATTACAATGTAAAGTAACTGTTTTCTAATTGATTAACTAATATATGTTAAAATGTAATTTATTGCTGTGATCAAAGCTGAATTTTCAGCATCATTACTCCAGTCTTCAGTGTCACATGATTCTTCAGAAATCATTCTAATATGATTATTTGCTGTTTGATTATTACTATTGGTGCTCAATTATTAACATCGGTTCTTATTATAAATGTTGAAAACAGTTGTGCTGCTTGAAAGCACTACCAGTCAGAAGTTTGGAATAATTAAGATTACTTAAAGTTTTGAAAGAAGTATCTTTGCTCACCGAGGCTGCATTTATTTGATCAAAAATACATTAAAACAGTTAAATTGTAAAATATTATTACAATGTAAAGTAACTGTTTTCTAACTGATTAACTAATATCTGTTAAAATGTAATTTATTGCTGTGATCAAAGCTGAATTTACCGCATCATTACTCCAGTCTTCAGTGTCACATGATTCTTCAGAAATCATTCTAATATGATTATTTGCTGTTTGATTATTATCAATTACTATTGGTGCTCAATTATTAACATCGGTTCTTATTATAAATGTTGAAAACAGTTGTGCTGCTTAACATTTGAGTGGATACACTGTGATTCATTTTTTTTACAGGAATCTTTTATTACTAAAAAGTTCGAAAGAACAATTTTGTCTTTACGCCACTTTCATCAATTGAATGCATCTTTGCTTAATGAAAGTATTCATTTTTTTATTTTAAATCTTTCTTATGCCAAACTTTTTAGTGACATGATTCTTCAGAAATCATTCTAATATGATTATTTGCTGTTTGATTATTATCAATTACTATTGGTGCTCAATTATTAACATCGGTTCTTATTATAAATGTTGAAAACAGTTGTGCTGCTTAACATTTGAGTGGATACACTGTGATTCATTTTTTTTACAGGAATCTTTTATTACTAAAAAGTTCGAAAGAACAATTTTGTCTTTACGCCACTTTCATCAATTGAATGCATCTTTGCTTAATGAAAGCAAAGCATTTTTTTATTTTAAATCTTTCTTATGCCAAACTTTTTAGTGACAGTTATCACGGTTTCCACAAAGATATCAAGCAGCACAACTGATTTCAACATTGATAACAATAACAAGTGTTTCTTGAGCAGCCTGTTTTACTGTATTTTTGATCAAATAAATGCATCCCTGGTGAGCATAAGAGACTTTCAAAAAACTTTCAAAAGAGAGGCTTGCCTTTATAAAAGCCTATAATGGCATTTTATTGAAATATTTTTACCCAAAACAGTCAAGATGTAACATTCTTACCCCGGTGCCTCAGTTTTTCTGTTCTTGTCTGTGACCGATCCATCAAATAAATGCATCCCTGGTGAGCATAAGAGACTTTCAAAAAACTTTCAAAAGAGAGGCTTGCCTTTATAAAAGCCTATAATGGCATTTTATAGAAAATTTTTTACCCAAAACAGTCAAGATGTAACATTCTTACCCCGGTGCCTCAGTTTTTCTGTTGTCTGTGACCGATCCGAGTCCTTCTTAATAAGGTTGATGGGACGGCCTTCTTTTGGCAGCTCCCGCAAAATCTCTCTGAATCGAATCTGAATCGGATCAACGTTCATCTTGACTGTAAGACAAACAACACAGATATGGATAAATGTGGCACTTTCACCAGAGATTCCACAAATTAAGCAAAAGGCCCTGTTTCAGCAAAATCAGGTCCTACCGAGGTCTTAAAAACTATATAGCTTGAATTCATTAGCTTTACTATAAATGATCATATATCAGGGTCTGAATCTAGCGTGTGTGTGTTTTTTTTTTATACAGGAATTCTGAAATGTTAATGCAGCCATTAAAAAAAACTGTCAAGTATGTTTTATGGGTCTGCTGTAAAATCCATATGCAGCACCCTTCAAATAAAGCATTAGAGTACACTTGAAGTTAAGGATCATTGGGATGGTGGGAGAAAGTGTGGCCTCTGCACTCTTTAAATACACCCTTGAGGCTTCTGGGAAGGACAGTACAGCCTAAGAGCCTTAACGGCAATCAATGTGTATCTGTGTGTGTGTGTGTGTTCCAGTATTTTTTGCTGTGCTGGAGGAGAAAAGCAGTGAAGTGTTACAAGAGAGCAAAAGAGTGAGAGAGAGACAGATAACAGAAAGAGAAAGGACATTTCTTGCCCTCAAACACACTGCAGTCACATAACGGTCACACAGCTGAGAAAACATCATGCTATCAGCAATCACAGATCACATTCCCAAGCATACTTAAAAGATACAGATCTCCTTCTGAACTTTGTAAAGTTTACTCTTACAGTGGCCTGAAGAGATACATGGACATCTAAGCCACATTAAAACAAACAAGAGAAAAAAAAAAGCAAAGAAAAAAATAGAAAAAGCAAATAGAGAGGAAAAAACCCCAAAAAGAAATCCCCCAAACTGAACAAAAACAAAAAGCAACAAAACAAAATAGCAAAACAAAAACCATAAAACCAAGACAACAAAATAAAAACAACAACAAAAAAAGAATAAACCAACACAAAAAAAAACAAACAAAACCAAAGCAAAGCAAAAAAAAAAAAAAAAAAAAAACTCCAACAAATTAAAACACAACAAAAGCAAAAAACAAAACAAAATAACAAAAATAAAATAAATAACACCACCAAAAACCAAAAGCAAAGCAAAAACAACAAAAAAAACACACACAAAAATAAAACAACAAAAGAAAAAAACGACAAAAACCAAAACAAAACAAAATAACAAAATGAAAAAAAAAAAAAAAAACACAACCCTGCCCCCCAAAAACTTAAAAAACAAAACAAAAAAAAACCAAACAAACAAACGAATCCAAAAATAAAAGTAAAGCAAACAAAAAAAACAAAATAACAAAAAAAGTTTCCAAAAAGTGAAGCTGATGACATTATCATCAAATGCAGTGACATTCATACATTAAGTGTGTCTTAAGTATCATATAATTTCTGAGGCCACTTTTCAGACTGCCTAAAATGCTGTCAAAACAAAGTAAACGCATAGATGAAATAAACTGCAATGACTTGGCACAAAGTGGCAGTAAATTATTGTCACATTCTATTAAAACTTTGTTCGAATTGCAGCTGTGCACTTGAATCGCTGAGGACTATAATAAAGAGACTCATTTTGCACGGCTTTATAAGCTATATCCCCGAGCCAAAGGGAATATTTTCACTGCCTAAGGACAGAAAGCCATTACAAAGTTGATCTAAGAGCTTTTAGTGGAGAGAAAACTTCTACCATAAAATGAGACGTGTCAAGTCATTATGGTTTGTAATAACAGAGGAATGTGGGCTACTGGAGTACGAGGCCATAAGTCTCCCTGCAGGTCTTTCTTGTCTGTTTGTCCAAACATCCTGCGCTGCTCTCTCTGATCCTCTGGGTATTAAAATACTTTGTGGGGGAACAGTGTTGCCTCCTAGAGAGAACATTTCGACCACTGCACCGTTCATGAAAAAAGCATGAGGATTGGGACGGCTGAAACAGGTAAATCAAGGTAATGGAAATTCTTGGGTATTGTGGGTCCAGGCTTATTATAGTTAACTAAAACTAAAATAAAAAACAAACTAAAATAAAAAAAGTTTGTTACTTGAAATAAAATCAACCTTAACTGAAATAAAACCTTATATATATATATATATATATATATACATATTATGGCTGTCAGTTGATTAAATTTTTTTATCTAATTAATTACATGATAATTATCTATATATAATCTAATATATATAATCTAATTAATCGCAAAATAAATTTGACTGAAAATACCCACAAAAGATTATTTGAAGCTATTTTTGTGTTAAATGAGAAAGTATCAAGTAGACATTACAAATTGTAGCTTTAGAAAGAAATATTTTACTTGATTCAACATAAAATTTATTACACAAACATTTAGGCTACAACAGCCTGACATAAACTATGGAACATAAAAGAAGATATTGATATATATAAAAGAATAATTAAGTAACGCGTTAAACTGACAGCCCTAATATATATATATATATAAAAAACCTAATATTTGTTAATTCATAAAAACAACAAATTTACTTAAACTTTAACTAAAACTAAAATTACGATTAAAACGGTTGTTATTTTTTATATTTCCTAATTCAAACTGTTAATAAAAAATCTTATCCCAAACACTTTTTGGGTCTTTTGTTTTAACAGTCTTGAGTGGCAAAATTCATTCCTGACTTTCAAAAAAGAAAACATATCTGTCATTATGTTGTTACTAGGGCTGCACAATTAATCAAATTAAAATATAAATCGTGACATTATCTTGCAATTTGTACAAATTAATTAATGTGATTAATAGTCCTAGTCATAACCAGCAAGTCATTGTGAGGTGCAGTAATAGCAACAATACAATTTGGGGTGTTCATGTTTAAGCGTTTGAGAGAGGCGGGGCATAGAGGACCTACAATAATGTACAGTATTTGAAAAATAATGTGTTTTTGGAACATTAAAGCATGTCAACATATTCTGTTACACCAAATACACAAAATAATGATCTTTAAAATAACATCATATGACCTCTTTAAGTGCTTTTATATCTTTAAAAAAAAAAAAAAAGTTTATAAAAGTGCTTTTATATCTTTATATCTAGCAATTTGTAGAAATGAATGCATGTAGTGCAAGAAAATGAATAATAGCTCCAGTTAGAACGAGCAAGTCATTGTGAGCTGCAATAATAGCAACCATATCATTTGAGGAATCCGTGTTTTAAGTTCTTTTTTATGTGTGTTTGTGTGTTTTCTTTACCTGGCCCTCTGCCGCCGCTGGTCTGGTTACTGCCACGACTGAACACAGAGGGAGGCTGAGACTTCTGCTTCGGAGTACCATGATTTGAGAAGAAAGCAGTCAAGTTCTCTCGCGTCAACTCCAACTTCTTTCCACCCAGTATAGGAGTACCTGAAAGAGACGCATACAAATCATTTCATTCTTTTATTTTTTTATGCACCACTACTTCATTTAATTTGATAATATTAATTATTTATTATTATTCTGTTATTTTACTTCATCTTTCACACCCACAGCTTTCAAAGACTTGTCTGAAAAGACATTCAGATTTAATCTTGTACTGTGAAAATTATGAAAATTTTCACAAAAGGAAAATAAAATAAAAATCTTAGTTTTTTAATACCTAATCAAATTTGGCAAACAAATTTGACAAAACATCCATCATGAGCTTAACAATGAAGATTTTCAAAACCTTATTAAACCTTTATTTTTAAACCTATTTGATTTGTAGTGAATCTTCACTGTTAGTGGTGCAATTTAGATTTACGAGCAGTACTAGTGGCACTAGTTAAGCACTGATTCAAGATTTAATATTTTATTAATCACATACAGTTATATACAGAATACACTTGCTGTGAAATGCAAACATTAAATTGCATAGGCATCAGAATAGCTAATACACCACTGATTCAAAATAACAAACAACACTCAATTAGTGCTAATCAATATTAACTAACAATATTAATTATCCTCTCTTATAAAATAACAAACTCAATGAAGACGCAGAACTTTATTTATTAACTTTTTTTATTATATTTTGGAATATTATATTCCAAAATATTATTTAGTATTTATTTAATATTATATTATGATTTAATATTATATTTTAGAAAATATATTTATTAT